CTGTTCCGAATGAAGTTGATGCGTATGCCGCGGAAGGGGGGAGTGCATTGGGTTGGAAACAGGGACGCCAGCTTCTCAAGCAGTACCTACAGGTCGTTCACTTTTACATGGAGTTACTTCAGTGGATTGTAGAAAGCGTCAGGTGCAAAAACGTTGCACATCGTTCATGATTTAGTTTTTGTTTCAGGAAATTGGCTATAGTGAGCAGATCCTTGACGTGCGCGCTTTTCGTGTCAAAAATCTGTTGGGCCTAATTCCTCAGGTTAGTTTCCAGTGTTTTGCATTTTGTACTGCAAAGTATTGCTGTTGCAGCACATGCTTTTTAATTGGAGACCGTAAAGGCATGCAACAGTTCCCAATTGATCCCTTCACCATCTAATTTTAGGGTGACTGGCCATCAAACGAGAGAGCCACGGGAAAAGGCCCCACTGGGCAGAAAAAGGACCTTGACAGGTACGTTTATTGCCTCTTCATTTTCTTTTCCGGTTTTCGTTTCCAGGATGACACTTTTTTTGACGGTGTTATTGCATTAAGTACTGTTATTTCTTTTCGAGACTCTAGAAGAATTCTTTAGTTTTTCATCGTCAGATGACTAGACAGTTTCTGGTATTGCTACTCAGCGTTTCTACTGATAACGCTTTGTTTCCTACTTCAACCATATAAACTGATCGATAGACGTAAATACTCGTTCTTAGCGTTCTGGTCAATGTTCCACTGCAATAGTGATTAGGATTGAATGCATAAGTAATGGGTATTCAGTCTGTGGTGGCGGCGAAATATGCAACTTATTCTCTTGTTTCTAATTTTTCACAATCCGCAGTGATTGCGTTATGTGGGAAAGGTATTCCAATATCTGACCCATTTCATTTTGTGAATTCATGAATCCTTGTTTCAGTGACTCCGAGTCTGATGAACGAAATGCGCCACGTGGTGGATTGGACTCAGAAACTGCCGAGGCGCTTGAAAAATTTGATTTTCTTCATGAGCAATCCACAGGTGCTGGCGCAGGACGTGATGAATGGGCTGCCACAGATCAAGGTGTCATTGATCGCCTGAAGGAGAAATATAAGTAGGATATAGATTTCAACGCAATGAATTTGTGTATTTTGAACGGAATGTTCAATATTCATTTGATTAAGGAGTGAGAAACGTACTAAAAGAAGCTCGGGAAGTATGGATGATGCCGATGAAAAAAGGCTTAACTTGAGTAGGTCTTCTTTGATTTTTTTTGGTCGCTGACTTATTCTGATAAGGCAAAATATTTCTGTTCAGTTGCACGTAGATTTATTTTTCTCTGTTAAAGTCAAGAACTACTTAGTGTACTTTTAGACGACACCGTAATATCTGTTGGAGGCGGAAATACTGGTAATCCTGCGGCAGGGGTGAGAGGCAGACGAGGAGAGTTTATGGATATTAACGATGCACTTGGCTTGCCTCCTGATGAGAATATTGACATTAAGGACGATTTTATCATTGAGGTAAGGACGATCATGTGTTGAAGATTGTTATTTTCTAATAGCGAAAGGGTAATTCAATGGAAACGCAATTTTCTTCTCTTTCTCCATACTTACTCAGCTTTTGTGCCAGCTCAAAGTTTTATAATCTGCAATTTGGTCGCGGATGTGGTTTGTTAGGACAGAAAGTGACTTCTTGGCGTTTTGCAGCGCGAAATGTTTTCCTCTGCGGGAACCTCAGGTCCATCGCTGATCATGAGTGGACCTGGAGTTGTCGCAGCGGTGCGGAAAGCGGAAAAGTCGCTATCTGTTTTAGCGAACCACACCCGTTGATCGCTTCAAACATTTTGAGTGCACATTTGACTTTCATTCAAAGTTTTTGTGGTATTCGTACAATCTAGTCGCAATGGGCATTAATTTGCGGGTCAAGCAGATGCTCAGGTGTATGTGTTCTTTCGAGTATTGCACCACTTTTGTGCTCTAGTGCTCTAGTAGGGTGAAGAACTTCTAGAGCTTGTTAAAAACCTACCTAGGATTTAATTACCGACCGTGTGCGTCCCATCACTTCACGCTTTTGTACCACTTGTCACCTCCTTCTTCAATAGATATAGATGAAGTAAAGAGGATCTTTTATCAGAGGTGTGCAACGTCACAAAACTTGGTTGTGCACGCAAGCCTCGATTGAGCAAGTTTTCCAGTTGCAAGGGCTTTCGGAATGGATGCGCATTGACTAGCATAGAGTTCCCCGAAACTCTTGGCGTTGCTACTTAACTAATTTTTTATGAATTGGCGAAGTTTGTGGCAGTAAGTACAAGTAGAAAAGTAGAATTGATGGCTGTTGCGTATTCAACCACGAAAAATCAGTTTTTAAAAACCCTGAGATCATTAGCATGTGCGATTTTGCTGGATTTTTGTAATAAGAGAAAATCGCATAAATCTAATTTGTGAATGCAATGTGATCGTTTGCTACCTTTTTGACCGGAGTCATGTAAAGTACTATTTTTTAGGATGACGAAGAGTCTCTGAGAGCTGCAAAATGGAATGTGAAAATGACACTGCGTTCTCATCTTGACGCTATTCGTGCAATGCAGGTTAATCTTCTTTACATATTTATTTTTCGTTATTTCTCATCTTAGTTCCTATGTCGAGTCCTTTCAGTTCCATCCAGTCGAACCTGTATTGATCACAGCTGGAGAGGATGGTACGGCAAAGCTGTGGAATCTTGACGGAGCCAAGGAGAAATCAGGTAATGGATGATAGTTCATCTGTTGAACATAGGAAAGTAAACGCAACAGTAGTATTTGTGGAGGAATATTTAATAGGACCACTAGCGAATGTTGAAAACTATTACCAGCGATAGGCCTCAGCTCAAATTTACGAGTGAGCATGGGTTTCACATGTTGGTAATGTTGTGCGACTTTTGAGTCATCGTATTTCTACATACATCTCTTACAGTAGATGAGCTATTTGTTTTTACAAGACGTGAACTAATTCATATGGCAGTTGATAAGGCATAGTAATACAGTTATAAGAAACGCCTTGGCCAATTGTTCTTAGTGGCTTTAATCAGTCCACAGGCGTAGCTAGCACACGATGATGGCGGCTAAGTGACTGCCAGCACAATATGAAGAAATGAAGAACTGATTAAAGGAAAAATTAAGTGAAATAATAGGGGGGGGGGAAACGCACAGTAGTACATAGGTGCTGACACTAACACCATCATATGCCAACAGCTTGTTCTTCGATCAGTTGTTCGTTTGTCAAATGGTTCAGATTAGTAAATGCTTAAGCTGTAAACTAAAATAGTTAGTGATCTGCTGGTAAAAGTAACTTAAGGTGCGGCTATATAGATCATTTGGATTGGATTATCCATTTTAAGGAAGCACTTCTGAAATCGAGCCTGTTTACACGTTCCGAGGGCACCTAGGCCCCGTTCTGTGCATGGACCTTTCACCAACGGGCGATCATTTATTCACAGGTAATGTCTTCAGATTGCCTTACTTGAATTATTGAAGTTTTGTTATTTTTTTTTGATTGCTGTTTCCTTGTCATGAGAAAAACTTCAGGAGGCAAAGATGGAGTAATTTGTTGCTGGAATGTGCCCAGCACTACTGGAGATCCATATGAAGCATATGGTGAGTTTAATGGTTCAATTGCGAGATTATAGATTAGATTTGTAAGGGGGTTAAACTAATGCTACGGAAATTTTGTTCTACACCATCCACCATCATCTCTATTTTGATTTTTGCGTGCACTAAGATGGCATACTGCAAAACGAAGATGCTCCAGTTCCCACTTTTTTAACTGTGCACATGTTGTTGCCATCATTTAAACCATCATTTCGTAGAAATTTGGTAATATATTTCACGACTGGGGAAAGGGTTGTGGCGGCAAGTCGTAGTGACTACTGCAATTAGTCCCCGTAAGGTATGCTTCCCCGAAGGGTTAGGGGACGAAAGTTCCTTTAAATTTTCTCTGTAGTCCCAACTGGGATTGTCCTGATAAAGGGCCTACATTAATATATGTGTGTAGCTTAAAGTAAACATGCATTGAAAATAAAGAAACAGTATCGTTCAAAACAAAAAATTTAAAGGGACTTTCGTCCCCGCAACCATTCGGGGAAGCATACCTTACGGCCCCTTGGCAGAGCTAGAGTCTGGTGGAAGTGGTGGAGACGTTCCAGAGAGAACATGTATCTTGTGAGCCGAACCAGGGAATTGCCTTAGAAATTATAGTACTGCTTTAAAAACCAGAAAGGAGCGATGTTTTGTTTGCAAGGTGATGTTAATCCATAAGTCAGGAAAGAGTAACTAAATCGAGCAACGTCTTTGGGGAATTTGGGACCTTGAAAATCATGTGAAAGTAAGCAGTTAATTGTGGTCTGGTGAAAAAAATATGTTCTCACTCGGTTTTGATTCAGCAGGTGATGGAGCCTTCTGATAAAAGAGATGCCTCTCACAGAAAGTTTTATTTTCAACTATCTAATTTGTAATGAGAAGCCATGAGGTAGTTCTTCACGGGGGAAAACATGTGTATATAAATTTTGGGCCGTCGCTGATTGGTTTTTATCGTGTTCGCAGTGACGGAAAGCTGGAAAGTTAATATCTTGTGTGATTTATCTTGTAGATCCCAAAGTCCTGAGCGAGCGCTTGCGTGGACACAGAGATGCAATTTGGTCAATCGCCTATCACTCTTCGGATAATCGTCTCGTTTCCGCTTCTTCCGATGGTACAGTGAGGCTCTGGGAACCAGGTAAACCTTTCATCACGCATCGAATCTGTCTGCCTACTTTTATAACACATATCTAGTTGTCACAAGGCATTAAATAGTTTTTATGACTCAACATTTTTCTGTTCTGTGGTACTTATTTTTTTCATGTCGCGGATGTTGTCAGTCTGTAAAGTTATAGGCTACTCTCCAATTTTTAGGAAACTTTGGTGAACCGCTTTTACGGTCACTGGATGCTCCTTCAGCTGGACTCATACCTACTTCGGTTGACTTTGTCTCCACTGAACCAAGCCAGCTCCTTACCGCTTACACATCATCGACTGCAACTATTACCGATATCGAAACGGGTGCCACCATCCTTTCATTTGATTTCGGCGAAGGTATGTTTTTTCTATAGTTCTCACTCACTTTCGCATAGAAGTTGGTGCTGCATTTTGCCAGTCGTCCAGAAGGTTACATTCAAAATTTGCTAACAGCGAGGGCGTCTCTAAAATAACATGCCGTGATTGCAACCTGGAAAATAACGGCTAAATTAGAAATTTTGCACAGCCGTTTTCGCTTCTCACATGCAAAGTGCATAGATTGGAACTGTGGCCTGGATCCGCCGTAAGCTAATGAATGAGGTTGACGGATGCTCGGGTTGCCATCGTTCTGCTCCTCTTTTTCCCTTATGTCTCTCCGAGATCTTCTCCTTTATCCAGGTGCTAGTGCGTCCTCTGGATAGACTCGTGAAGCTTTGAAGTTTTGTAGGGAGGAGGATATTATTTTGAGCGTTCTTAGTAATTTATTCTGAATTTTATAGATACCAGTCTTTCATCACTTGTTCGGTTTCATATTTGAACTACTCTACCAAGTCCTGCTGTGGTGCAGTATGCCGTCAATTAATGCTTTGCCTTTTGCGGTCCATCTCCCTGCGTTTGCTCTCGTAGCCTCGATAAGAATCCGACATTTGAGCAGGGTTAAAGCATTACAGGGTTATAGAATTAATGGGACTGGCTCGCTAAATTCTCGTATGGCACACATTGTTACATGGGGTTTTGTTTCAAGTTATCGTTTCGTAACACACTAAACTTTGAATTTTTTGGATTCCTATTTTCCAATCCTCTTACCCTCTGGTTTCGAGGTTTTAGGTTTTTGTGATGCACAAATGTGGTTTTCCAGACGTGTATGTATCTTTCAATATTCAGATGTATCCCCTGGAAGTTGCATAACTCGAATTCTTTCCCACCCAACAATGCCTCTGACAATCACAGCCGGTGATGATCGCAAGATTCGCTACTTTGATAACCACACAGGTTCGTTCATTTGGTGATCGGCTTTTAAGGAAAAGAATTTCTCACAAATGTCCTTCAAGGCAAGTTGACACATAGTGCGGTTGCTCATGTCGAAGGAATTTCCTCCCTTGCTATTGATCCTAATGGACTCTATTTGTTATCTGGAAGTCACGATGGCAGCCTCCGGATGTGGAACATGGAGAAGCGCGTGTGCTTGCAGGTAAGCTCTATGCGATTTTGTGATATCTTTGGAATCTTCATCTAGTTCTCGATACTTTTGGAAATATCTGTTTTGTTCAAGGAAATATCCGCTCATCGCAAGAAGTACGATGCTTCTGTGACTTGCGTGGCATTCCATCCTTCGCGACCGCTAATTGGCTCAGCTGGAGCCGATTCATTGGCAAAAGTGTATTGTCCAGCTTCTTCTTAACATGGAATTATTCGTGGTCATGCGATGCTACTTTGCTGACCAGTTGGCCCACCTTTTTTCGAAATGCTTCGACGTTCATATTTGTAATTGTAATTGTTCGTTTCGCTCTACCATTAATTTGATTAGCGCTTCATTAGCTTTCTCGTGGTATGATTTTCACGAGCTCTAGGAGAAGACGTACGCAGATACTGAATGGCCCCTTCCGTAGCAGCACTGTGCATGAAGTAGCTGTGAAAATAATTTCCTCACACCAGCCCATCTATTGTCGTTTTCTCACCACCGTCTAGTCACCACATCGCTATCATTGTTGCATCGCATGAGCCCTGTAGGTGAAGCAAGAGGGAACTTTATACTGCACCCATCACGTTGACGTTTTTTGTAGATAAAATTTGCGCCGTAACATGCTCGTAATTTGTGTATAGTTGTACTAGGAGTTAGGTGGTTTGCGATTGCTCCGGTGTCTTTTTACTACCGTATCACAGTTTCGTTTATTATGGAGTTTCTCCTTCATTGTCCCCCCCCCCATCAAGTACTTTTGTGTCACGAATCATGGCTTGTTAAATTCGAGTTTTTGTGGAATATCTATACCCAAGTAGGTTATGTTCGGAGTGGGGTTATGTTCAGCTGGTTTGCGTGTGATGTTCCTTATTCGACCCTGCTGTCATAGATAGGTTCCTTGTGGAGGTGACAGTGTATTCAAAGTTGTAAGAGTACCCTTTTCGTACTCCACGAGGAGCATTATCATTTCCAGTAATTATTTGTCTATCATATTGCTGAAATTTTCTAGCGTTTTGTATATTTTTAGCGTTAATATTTTAAGGATTTCGATTTTTAGTTACAATGAGTGAATCTGCTAAATTGTGAAAATACTGAGGAACGTATACGTGTTTGTTTTGTTTGATATAAATTCTTTAACTATGCATGTGTCGAGGGTGTTGGGGTGATATGAGAAGAGGCTGGAAAAGCACACAATTTGTGTCTTATTGGGACTAAGCCTTTTGAGGAAGGTAAAGAAAGAGGTGATCCACAAAACGCTGAACCGCCAAGGCTTCGGGTGACAAATGTCCTGAGACCTTCCTGAGACGTTCATCTGAAACATGCTGCTCGAGTAATAATAACGAGCTGCAGTCGTGAAAAGCATTTTATTCACGTCCCATTGCCAGAATGGTCATCAAAAAATGTTCTACAGGAAGACCATCAATATGAACCTCCTGAGCTAGTTGGGCTGAAGAAGTGCGAATTTTTCCAAACGCTTCTTGCTTTTATGCAGAAAAAATGAAAAAATTTTTATATTGGTGGTAACACACAAGCAGCAGAGATGGCATTCCGCATTCTAAGGCGAACCCCGGGATAAAACTGGTGCCGACCGATTTGACGTTTGATGATAAAGGTGACAGAGGAGAGGGGTTTGAAATAGAAAAAAAGCAAACGAAAACATCGATTTTGCCCCAAAATAGGCCCCCCTTTTCAGCACAGTCCACCTCAAAATGTGCAAGGCGTGGTTGGGCGAATTTTTTTCTGCAAAGCCGCATCTATTTCTATCTTTCGATCTCATCTTAACTAAAATGCAATTAGGAGCTACATCGTAAATTGCGAGAAGAAAATTGCGTGTAACAGCTGCCGTCATCGTTGATCCCCTACAACAAGCGCGGTGGGCGGGGATGGTTGCAAGTCTGTGACGATTAGCGTCTTAACTGCGCTCTTTTTGCGACAAAGGAGACACGACTTCTGCAGGTACGAACCTAACACGTTCACTCGCGGCGTAGTTCCCTAATGAATCTAATCCCGGGACTCGCCTTCAGGTTAGATCCATGACTAAAGGGTATCAATGGTAGGCGCCAACAAAAGTTACCGAGTGGATATAGTGATGCCTGGTTGCCGCCTGACGGTCGCCTAAAACTTATGTGGCTTTCTTTTACTATTTGTTTTGGTTAGAACATCTTCAGGTTTAGGAAGAGGAAGCATTTTCGATAAGACGCTGGAAACAAATGATTAAATGTCTGACGAAGATGGGCGTATTCAAAGCTATATTCACAATAAGTTGCAGTGCAGGTAAGGCCGTGCTTTTAGAATCCGTGTCACACTTCCGCGAACTAGTTGCTTAGAAAGGCAATGGAGTGTCAAGCAGATGAGCGGCACCGAATTGAATGTGCAAGCCATTTTATGGAACATGATCTCGCTTTAATGTTTCTGAAAGGCTTTCAGATTCATGGCGCATCTTGATGGCACTGCTCAAAAGGTGAGACATTCGATACTTTCAGCTTCATCTTATTTGGATCTCTTGAGTAATAGGTTCGAATCGTTAGCGAATTTCAGAACAAACAAGCTAGCGGAAAATAGCAGCTCTGAAACAACGTGCACACTCACAGGGAAAGTGCTTCACAACAGATCCCAGTGCACTTTCTATAGTAAGCAAAATGCGCCAACATGGTATTATACAAACCGGTCTGAAAGCATTTTTTGCTAAACCATGATGAAGCAAAATTGTGATACTGGAAGTTTTAGAGAGTGAAACGCTGCCCAGAAGTATGTAAAGCGGTGATTTTGTCCCAAACCCTGCGGCCTTCGCTCTTTGGCCTCCCACCCCTGCCTGCTCTCCTGTTGTCCCTATTCTCTTGCGACTCTCCATCGTTGGCGTCTTTCGTTCGCACACACGCTCTCGTCGCCGAAGACTCCTCAACAATGTAAGGGGCCTCCAAGATGTTCCGACAGCTCCCTTTGGTCTTTTTGCGTTGGAGGGTGTTATGGTATTTAGTTAGTTATTCTTGCTTGAGCCCCATTCACATTATCGCGGAATGTGTTTAAAGGACGAATTCACGATGAAAAAGCAACCCATTTCAAATTAACCTAGGGATGGTGAGTGGTACACGAAAGAAGGAAGAACCATGAGAAACGGCCCAGAACCCGAGAAATGGGACCCCTTCCCTTGCCCGTTGATTTATGCCCATATGATTCGACTTATGCATCGCTACTTGTCTCTCTTTCCAAGTTAAAGGACGAATTCACGCTGGAAAGGCAACCCATTTCAAATTAAGTTAGCGATGGTGAGTGGTACACTAAAGAAGGAAAAACCATGCGAAACGGCCCAGAACCTGAGAAATGGGACCACTTCCTTGCCCGTTGATTTGAGCATTGATGCGACTATCATCGCTGTGCCCTCTTCAACGCTACGCTCTCTCACCTATCTAATCACTCACCACGTATAGACCTGCGGCGAGTGATCAGATGATCGGTGGGCGTGCACTGACCAGCCGCGGCGGGATTAAACCTTAATAGGTCAACGAGGTCAACTCCTCCTGTGCAAATTGTGCTTCAGTTCGCACACTTAGGAGCTCCGCGGGTCCCTCAACCAGGTGAATTCTTCCTAATTCGATTTTTCCCTCTGATCGCGTGAATTCGTCCTTTAATACCCTGCGTCGTAT